TTAGATAACTGTTTTAATAGAAAGGGGAAATCTACATAGTAACATGCTAAACTTACTAAGTGACTGAATTTTAAAAAAATGCTTTCTCTACATTTTACAGAATTCGCTGTTTCTACGATAGGACAAGTTATGCTGTTGTTAGAAGTCTTTCAGTAGAAAGGAATTGTTTAGGCAAGAGGGGCAATGTTTCCTAGCAGCTAGCATAAGACATTCAYAGACTAGCTTCTCCTAGGATTTTGCATGTGCTCCTGGTTTGTGATACGATTTATGAAAATGAGCTCTCTGTGCCCTATTTTAACCATCTGTACAGTAGATTAAATATTTTTACTAGAAGTGCTGTAAGCCTTATTTAATATTTGTAAAGTGCTTAGACATCCCTGGGAGCTGACATGAAAGTGTCATTGTGCGAGAGAGGAATTTGCAAATAATAACTGTAAAGCATTTCTGGCACACATCTGTTAAAGCAAATGTTTCTCAATTTCAGGTGTAACCTCCCTCCAACCACGGGAAATATTAGCAAAGATGTTGGCAATAAAACAAACCTTGTGACTGTTAATCCAAGTATCATAGCTCAGAAGTGAGTACTACTGCAAATCTGTTTCTTCGCAATGGTGTATAATTGTTTGACATGATTTAGATTTTCGTGGAAATCCATTAGGATACCAGCCTAGAGAACAGTGCATGTAGATTACCCCGTGAAGCCTCAGTTTCCCATGTACAATATGTACTAGTCTAAGTGGAAATCTTCTAAACTTGCCTTTTTTGTAGCATTAAGGAGTCAGCAATACCCTGATTTGCAAGTGCCTCAGCTGAWACTAGTCAACAATTTATGGCAGAGTAAAACTGATGATTGTAAGCTCAAGCCTCTTCTTTTCCCCCCATGACCCTCATGACCTCAAGCACTTAGAAAGAAATTGTAATCATAAATCAGGAAAGCTTGGAAATGTGTGTCCAGCTCTATCAGCAGGTCTGTGAGCACATGTTCTTAGGTAATGTACTTAGAGGCTGTTCTGATGAAGGCTATTTCCTGAATGGAGGCCCAGTTTCTGTAATCCATTTCTTCAACCCACGTGAAAGCTGCTTGCTCACTCACTTTTTTCTCAGCAGGGGTGGATATTTTTTTTTCACAATCTTGATGAAAAGAAAATCTAATAAGTCCAACCTGACTAATCTGACATCTTCAGCAGGCTGGAACTGCAGCTTATCTATGAAAAGGACTGCAGTGGCATGTTATTTACTGCTTGCTAATCTTACTGTATCTTATTGTCTGTCATAACTGCATTGTCAAAAAGACATCAGGCAAAGCTGGGTTGCTTTTTTCTTTTTCTCCTTGAAAGGAAGAAGAAAAAAGTTYAGTGAGTACACAGAAATAACTAACAGGCATTTTTCATTGATTCAGGGATAGAACTTCATTTTTTGCCATGAGTAGTATTATAATGCTTATAGAGCCCCTTTTGACTTAAATGAAGATGAATTATTGCTTCTCCAAAAATAAATTTAGCTCATTGATGTTAGTGGGGCTGTTCAAGAGTATGAGGAAGGGAAATGGTCCAATGACTCAGCATCCTTGGTGACTACTGACCCGATGCACAATTTTTCTGGGCTTGATCAGTGTTCTGCCGCAGCTGCACTCATTTTTTAGCCAAATTAAGTCACACTAGGGTTAATAGGAGTTACACTGAAGGAAATACGAGCTAAACCTGAGGATTAACTGAGATTATTAGAGGACTTTATGATTTAAAAAATRTCTATTTAAATACTCAGAGACCACGGTAAATGTTTTTCAAGAAGAAGCAAGAAGCAACTTGGTACCCTTTAGCAGAACTATGTTTGTTTCTTCTCTCAGGAGACCTATTYCAACATTATTCCCTGTAATTTCGAATTCTGTGTTTGCATACTGGCTTAGTCTGATGTTATTATTGTGAAGGTTAATCAGCTTTTGAACTGCGTCTGTCAGGATGTGCAACATAGGTGAACTCTCGTGGAGAAAAGCACAGTTCTTATGTGTCCTAATGGAACTGGGCTACACTTCTCATAGTGGCAGAGATGGAAAGGAGATAGAGACAAGGTTGAGTTGTCCAGGTTTCTATCTGAGGAAGATTAGAGGTTTGAATTCTGTTCTGGAGGCTCAGTACATTACACTGAATAAAACCAGTGAAAGTTCTTGGAGTRGAGGCCAGAAATTCACCCTTCAGACACTTTTCCTAGACGTAGACTCAGGCATTTCTTGCTCGCTTTGGCTGTGTGACTCTTGTATGCGCAGAAAATAAATTCTCATCATTTGTGAAGTTAGAGCTCTGAGGCTTTATGGATATCCATGTGCTCCCTTTTTAGCTGAAGGAGATAAACAGGCATGCCTATATTTTTAGCTGTTTTGAAAAGATATAAAAGGCAGGTAAAACCCTGCAAAACATGAGCTCACACTAATCTTTAATACTCYGAGATTGTTCAAAAGGGCTCTTGGATTTCCACACAGGGCAGATAACAGAGATTTTGAAGAGATATTTTTGTATACTTATTGATGTAAGAAACACATTTCAAAAACACATACACTACATATTTGAGTGCATGTGTTTTTAAAAAGTGAAAGTATGAACACAGGTTTTTTTTTTGTATACTACTTAATTTATTGATCAATTCAGTAAATAGGTCCTAGTCTCRTTAGCAGTGAATTTCATCTGCTTCAGTATCTCCTGTGTTGCCAATTCAATTCTGTGTAGTGTGTTTTTATTATACAATAGTCAGATTTTCGTAGCACATATAACAACTTATAATAGGGTGATATAAATTTACAATGTAGACAGGCTGAACTGGTGCAGCAGAGTTCATAATGCATCTTTGCAAGTGCATTTGTGYTGTTTTGGTCTGTAATGTTTGTATCAATACTACATTCCAGTCCTGAAATTTTGTGCTTTGCAGATACAACAAGCTAAATGAAAAGAAGACAGAATTTCTGGAAAACATTGCGGTCTATGGAGATGCTTTTCTTTTACTGCCAGCATTTTCCTTCAGAAGTAACACAGCCACTTCTTTTAAAGTATATCACACTCTGAAAGAGTTCAAAGCTACCCAAAGGGCAATATTTTTTCACCCCACTTATCTGAAAAGTCTTGCCCAGTTCTGGAGAACTAAGGGTGTGAAAGCCTATCGGTTGTCATCTGGTTTTATGATCACTAGTGCTGCCCTTGAGCTGTGTGAGAATGTGAAGCTCTATGGTTTCTGGCCTTTCTCAAAATCTACGGAGAAGATGCCAATCAGCCACCACTATTATGACAACCAGCTGCCTAAACCTGGTTTTCATGCAATGCCCAAAGAATACAACCAGATCCTTCAGCTTCATGGCAAAGGCATTTTGAAGTTGCAGTTTGGTAAATGTGAATCAGACTAAAAAGGTAGGTCCCATTCTTACCACATAAAATGTCTTYATTTCRCATRTGTGCCAAGGGAAAACTTGTTTTAYGAAGTRTGASTCTGTTCTTCCTTAGACAGACATTTATACCTTACATTCAATGGTAGTTTTATTCCTAAATAARTGAAAGATTGGATTTTTCTGAATAAATATGTATCAGAGAGTTGAGAAATGTTTTCTAATTGTGATCATTAGATGGGGAGCATAGCTAAGTACAGATCAACCCCAAAAATCAGTCAGTCAGTAGTGTCTCCTTGTMTCAGATACATGYCTTTGCCARCCTATGTTTGGTTTGGTGKCAGTTCCCAGCAAYCAGAYTCCTTTGAGAATTGTTTTATTAAARGCATTCACATATTGTGATCTTTGAAAGGAGGTGCCTAATCCTGGCACAGCCTTTCGAGATGTATCTCTCCAGAGAACAGGGTATGGATGAGGATTGTTCCATGAGGGGGAAGCATGYATCCATAGCCTCATTCCCTCTTGTTAGGTAAAGATTAGAGCAGTGTGTGCTCASGGCCCGGGGCTGCAGAACAGCTTGCAGAGAGCAGTGAGGGAGCTGCCATACACTAAAGCAGATCTTGCTGAGCATTTTACCTTGAGGCAGCTTGGAATCTGGGAGTTACAAATGTAGGATGAARTGTTATTCCCTTTCCTCTGTTCTTTCTGTCCCAGCCCCTTGCACCTCTACTTTCTGTATATTTCCTCAGAGAAATGCAGCAGAGTCTGGCCTCTGTCTGACCTTGAGCCAATTTACTGTGTACACGCTAGAGATGATGATGAAAAGATTTGTCTGCATGTTTTCAATCTTGATTTGCCCTGTTGACAAAATAAGTCCAATATGTATAAATACAATTTCATCTTTTAAGCTAACTCAGAAGTTCCTGAACTCACAATACTGTTGCCAGAGTCTTCTTTCACAGAACTCTGTTTTTCCAGGGGGTTCAAGTTAATGTAACAGTAAGTGAAATGTACAGTTGAACTGCTATTGTATACGACATGCTTTAATTGGACTGATGTAATCTCATGACTGTACTACTCAAGTTAAATAAATTAAAATAGCATCATTGTTCAAGCCAGAAATTTTAAGCTTAAAAGCTAAGGGCTTTCCTTCAGGCTAGGTTTTGAAATGTATTTGAAAATATCCTTTGTTGGTATTTAGAAAACATGTTGTCAAAGATMCATTCACACTTAGTTTTAACAGAGAATGCTAAGTTTTAAAAAAGCAGATTGCTAGCACCTATAAGGCACAATTTTATTCAGTTACAAGGATTTTTTAAGAAATGGAAAAATAAATGTCTTTCACAGATTATTAGAATAATATAGAACCTGTGAGAAGGGACCTAGAATCCATGTAGTGAATCCMTTCTCCTCATCCATGCAGTAGATTACCTAGGAGGAGTTGAATTGAGTGAATATATATGCAGTTTCATGTGGCTAAGGTATGATTTTTTTGCTTATAAAAGGTTGCAGCATATTGGAAAGGTTAAGAAATACATAATGTATTTTTTTTAGTGGCTGAGATGCTTATATCCAGCAGTTTCCACTGTATTTATTATTCCTRTAATATAAATCATCGGAGACATATTGTGTAATTTTAATTGTAGCAACTACACCAGCTAAGAAAATGAAGGGCAGCTCTTTAGAAATATTTACCTTAGAGAGAAACAGATAGAAGCCACAAAAATGTGTAAGTATCTGTRTGTGTTAATTAAATGCTGTCCATGCTTTGACAGACTGAAAATCACTTGTGGCCATATTTGCAAAATATGCTGTAAAGAAAAAAAAAACCCACAAGAAGAATAAGTTGTGCTGCCATAATTTACACTTACATTTGCAAAGAGAAAACCAAAGAAATTAAATGCTTTCAGTATGAGCTACCATTCTGCTCGTATTATCAACTATTAGAGATAATTGAAATTCTATAATGAGCATWTTTCACTGAAGATGACCTTTTCTAAAAATTGAACAATCTCCTTTCTCTTTTCAATTTCCATTTTATGTTCTTCCTCATGTCCAGTGTTCTTCCTTGTTTGTGGGTAGCTGAAGGGTCCTTACACCAGTGGGTGCCAACACAAGGCCCAGGCAGAACTTCCCACACACATTACTGGGACACCAAAGTTTGCTGCAGTAAATAAGTGAAGGAAGCTGCTCTGCTGCAAACACCTGTTGGGAGAGTACAACTGCATCCCAGTTAATAATTTTTTGCAATGTTGCTCTTAAACACCACCCTTGTCACTGGAAAAGTGAACTATTCTTATTGGAKAGAGAGAATTATCAGATGTGAGAGCCCTGTAGAGTCCCACAATGTGAGAAATTCTGCCTTAATAYTCTCTCCTGTACTTTTATGATTATGTTCAACAGACATGTACAGGTCATGTAAAGTAGGTGCCCACCTATCACAGAGGGTCAAACGGAAAATGCAGCAACAGCAAAATCTTGAAATATAATTAAAATAACGATCTCTATTRTTTTGTACTAGATTATCAAATCATTTTTGCTATGGCCCTGCAGCTGAAGGAAGTCTTGTTTGGTCATTGAAGGGCATGTCATTAACTTCAAGTAAATACAGGTTCAAGGAGGGGCARTGACCTGATTCATATTTAAAAATAGAAAAAAAATCTGATTACAAAAATTGTCAGATGATAAATTAATCAGACTGGCATAAATTTGATTGCCCAGAASCCTGGTTAAAATGCAAATTTGACTGAGAATCCATCATGTTTTCTGTTTGCTAGAAAAAGAGAGCAAGGAAAATGATTATGTGTTGCTTTGACATACAGAACAGTAACATTAGGCAGCTGCTCAGAAGAGTCAGTCAACACANCAAAAAAAAACAACACAGAAAGGAAGAATGAAACCCACTCTGAGCCTGGGGAAAAAAATAATGCTCAGTTGTCATAGCAGAAGGACAGAGGGAGGAGGGCTTGATCAGAAGTGTTGCTGGTGGTTAAGAAGTAAAARCTGCTGAACCTCCCCCTGTCTATTTTACCTGGAAAGTAAAAACTTGGAGTTTTTTTAACTCCAACCAAACAATTAAATGTGATCTATTTCTGACAGAGAGCAGCAGAGGCTCTATCCACTCTAGGTGAAACTGCCAGAGCAGCATCCTGTAAAGCAGGGGAATGCCTGCTTACTTGCTCAGGAGCTGACATCAAAAAGAATCATTTTGTTMCAAACCCTGTCATCATATGATATTTTTTTTTTAGTCTTGAAATTTGCTGCAATCCAAGTAGGTAATAAATACTGTTACACATAACCTATTTATAGCAGTAGAATGCCAACATGAGCTTAARTTCTGTGGAACTTCTTTTATGCTTGTGGTGTCCCAGTGCAGCTAGAGAAATAAGAACTACCTCACAGTTCACTTTTAATTACCTTGAGAAAAATGAATACCACATTTTAAAATAAGGATGCTTCCAGATTCCTATCAGACAGCCATATTACAGGCTATGTTTGACTTGGGCAAATATTATCCAATGTGAAATTATTAGATATTGAAAGAAAGGTTTTGTGCCTTAGAGTCCCTACAGTACAGCTTTTAAGCACACACTTTGCATGTGAGTACAGTGAATCAAATTTCCATTTTAAGAATAATATCAGTAATGAAACAAATGGAGATAAATTACTTCTGGTTTAGGTAAAAACCACCAGAATAGAAAAGTGTAGATTAAATCAAATTAGAAATGATGTTAGATTTCAATTCAAATGAAGAAATATTTACTATCTAGAAAGGTTTTGTTTGGGTTTTCCACAACAGAACTATCCTGTTAAAGAAACAGAGTAGTTGCAGTGTCTGACTACTTCAAAATATGAGTAAGAKAATGTAATTTAGAACATACCCATATTCAGATTAGCAGTGGATATACCCCCATGAAGATACTGGTTAGACCCAGCCTTGGTTAGCTTAGGAAGCTTGGAAGRGTGTGGTGCAGGTAGGGTAAACATGAGCATTTCTGGGGGTATTCAAATGAAGGAGTCCTCCTTTAGAAAGGGCAGATGCTCAAGTTAGACCAGGCACGAGCATTCCARTTTAGCCAGGAGAATTCTGAGATTCTCCCTAATAGATCTCACAGACTCGCAGTCTGAAATAGAGATGAAAAGCAGATGCAGAAGGTGCAATGCATACACAGAAGACTAAACTCTTGGCTTATTTCAAGTATAACAAGAAGTTTTTCCACTGTACAAGAAATACCAATAACATATTTTATTGTTTTAATTCCAGGGTGATGATCCTAAGGAGACAATTTGTGTGTATCTCAGCAGTTCGGTGTTGGATTTGATCTCATGCGATTTTGTGAGCATTAAACTGCGTTATTACAAGAGAGAAATATTTTACACTTGGGGAGAAAAGGGAGTGATTTTTTCACACAATAACTGCTACATTTACGAATTTTGAGTGATCATTTTGTAAAATACAAAGTAATGATTTAGAAAATTCTGAAATTCMGTACTATTGGTTTAAATTGTAGCAAAGCACAATCTCAGGATGGTGGCAATATGTGGCATTCATCATGTGTTGCTTCCTAGAGGATCATTAAAATATTTTGACATAAGACCTCTGGTTTTGTTGATATCAYATAATATAGGCAATAGTCTCTGTATGGTGGCTGCATGAGTTGGCAATGAACGTTTTCAATTAGGAGCTTCATCCTGTAAATACTGGCATTTGTCTACATGAGAGAAGTGATGAGAAGAGCTGCAGAGGAGTAATTAATTCAGAGCCATGTCATTCTTAGTTTGTCCCAGGGTGCACAGATGAGAAAATCCCTCAGGTTAGAGGTGGTTAAGTGGTTTATGGGCTTTCATTTTGTGGGCAGTAAGTAATGCTGTGGATTTAATAGGCTTTCATTTTGTGAGAAATAAATGATGCTGTGGATTTAATGGGATCACTCATATGAGTGATGTTAATTCTGAGAAGAGGTGTATGAATGACCAGAGCTGTATAATTATTTATAAACCACTCTGCTTGCTTCTGCTCCTGCCTTGAGATCCAGTTCAGATCCAAATGAGGACAGTGAACCAGGTTCTGCRCTACAATCCCCAGAGTCCTGGTAGGGCATGACTTCTTGCCATTCCAGCTTTGTGTCTTGGCTGATACATGAGATGGAATTTCCATTAGAAAGATGACAAAGGTACCAAGCCTGTAATTTGATTTCTTTTCACGTAGTATAACTTGTATCTATATGTGACTACAGATAATGAAACTTCATTAAGCATTATTAGAAGAATGTTCCTCTTACCATCACTACACCATGATGTATGAGAAAAGTGACTATATTCACTCAATTTATAACCTATGCAGTTCTTTAAATTTTCCATGTGGTTCAAGAAAACATGGGGAGAACCATCCTGCGACAAGAGAAAATGAAATATMAGCCCAGTGGAAAGAATCACTTTAACATTTACAGGGGCTATGACAAGCGGTTGCACCCTAGCTTTAACTTCTCATATGTTTATATGTTCTACTGCAGGAAAAAAAACCCAACCAAGCAAGCAAACAAAATTTAAAAATATTAATAACCAGATTCTGTTAAGCTTCACTGAATTTTTTGAGAGTCCTGTGGATGGTCGGTTCAAATATAGTGTCATTCTCATTTTACAGTCAGATAGTATCAGGTATTTAATTTACTAGAACTCCATTGGCTACTGCAGCATTAAATCCCAAATCAACTGATTTAAAGAGCATTCAGTGTTCCTCTCTTCAAGGATTATATCTGCAAAAAAAATTCCCACTTTAATGAATTGAACCTAATGAAATAAGGTTCAAAAAAAACCTTTTAAATGTATACTTCATAGAAGCATTACTGTATTGTAATATTTGAAAGCTTACCTTGCAGCAGTTTTATAATCACSTAAACACTCCTGGAAGTATTAGAATCAATCATTACAGTTACAGATCTGTTGATTGAGACACATTCAGCATCTGAATCCATTTCCAAGATAATGATATCAGAATCCAGTRTTACTCCYGCCAAAGCAGAAATACCCTAATAAATTCWGCCTGCAAATATCAGAAATAAAGTCCWTTCTTTGAAATAAGGGGTTTTAAARAATGCCATTGCTTTGGGGCAATGGCTGATGCCCTTAATACACATGTGGACCTCTGAGTGTCAGTAGAGCCTYTAACARCTACAAAGACAGAATTCAGCTGATGAGTCCATCTGCATTACCAGCTGGTGACGTGGTCCCAGCACCACAATCCACATTGTTTCTTCCCCTGCAGTGAGATTTTGCCATTTTCTGGCCACAGGCATCTGCTGCTCATGTGCAGAGAGCTGCCTGCTGCAAGAAGCTGTATCCATGTACAAGAGTCACAGATGATTGCCTACTGGAACATCCTCGTTATAGATCAAATAAAAATTTGCTCCCAAAAGAGCATCTCCTATGCTATAAATCACTCACGTGAACAGCCCCAGAATATTTTTAGTAGAAGTTGTGCAAAGTGATGCAGTTGTTCTTTGGGTGATGCAAACAGCCAAGTCTGAGGAGAACCTTGCTGCATTTCATCCATAGAAACGAAGGCCCACCTGTGTCCACACAAGGACTGTAACTTATTCCAGTCTATCATAGAGCAGTGAGATGATTTTGACTGTGTAGCAGCTATATGGTTTATCTTGGGGAAAATTCATACCTATTTTAGAGGTTCTTGCATTGTATCCAGAACAATTGCAAATGCTCTTTGTGTACATAGAGATAATGCAAGATCATTCATTGTTCAGACTAAATTCAGTTTGCTACTCAGCACAAGTAAAGGGGCAAAACCTGGCTGTGTGAAGCAGAAGATCAGGAGRGGATAAAATGAAATTTATTTAGAGCAGAGAAGCAACTTTATTCCAAAAGCGTTTGTTAGTTAGTACCATATTGCATTGTCTCAGTGAATAAATGTAAACAGTGTTCCATGACACACCATGAAGAGCTGAAGTTACTGTGTGGCTGAACTATTTCAGTGCCGCTACTTTATTTAAAACACATRTGTATTAGTAACTGGAAAGATGGTCAGAATACATTTTAAGAGAGGTTCAACCAAAAAGAGGAATCCTATGCTAGCTTCCTTGACAAAAAGAKGTCTTAGCTGAAGGAACATGATGTACCTCTCATAAATCAGAGCAAATGGAAATTTCTGTTGCATGGACAGATTCTTGACTTCTCACCACTGTTTCCATTATGTTTAATCTTGCCAGTGACCTGAAGACCTGATCTTTCATGTTCTCAAGGCTCTCAATGATTTGTGTGGAACACAGACTGATAAGAAATGCATGAAGGAATTGTTGACCTTTCCTACCCTTTCCTACAAATGCTCTTAACTCTCCATAGAACAAAAATACACCCTATTAGACTTTAGWTTAAGAACCTGAGGCCTTGCTCCAAACATGAAGTTATTATGAGACTTTAGTTGCATCCGCTTCATGCTACAGGCAGGCAGACTTGTACAYTATAGCTAGTGGTGCTGTGTGCTGGGTACCTGGGTCGTGTTAATTCGTGTGCAGGCTGGGCAAGTTAATCGTGGCATTTCTGTATCACAGRGTACATTAGATCGGTCGAGACTTGCTGGAGTACACTCACTGTGGGAGGTGATGTTTTSTTGGGTAGCTGAATAAATTATTTCYCACTTATTTTAYATCTGTGCCAGGTTAATAACAGTAAATGGATTTTGTACCTGGCTGGGAATGTTTATGATACTTTTGCAAGACTAAACCAACATCAATTTGGATTAAGGATTCTTGACCAAAGGTTAGGAAGGACCTTTCAGTTCCCTCTATTTCACATGAGGAATATTCATTTTTAGGGTTTGTGGGCCTCCAGTGCTGTCACATGCTGTGGAATGAATATTGAGATTAAATAGTTTTCTAAAGATAGAAACACTGACAGTGTGCTAATATTTCCACTGTACCTTTGCAGAGGCTGGCAGTGTCCTTGCATGACTGCATCACAGCATCACTAGATTAAAGCCTGCCCAGCTGCTTTTGTTCTTTTTTCTCCTCTGAATCTCTAATGTTGCATCTTTCTTTAGGATGCAGTGCTGCCTTGAGTTGGTTATTTGTTTTTACCCTGTGGAGTGCTGTGCAGAACTGTTTAGTGTCTGTTAGGGAGTTAGTGTGACTGTGAATCAAACACTGCTATGCTTGCAGCATGGTAAAACATTCTGTAAGTGACTGGGTTTGCACTCAGTGAAGGCAGCTTGGTGTGATATTCACATTGCCTAACTGGAGGTGCTAAAGTTGGTCTGTAGCACCAACTGGTCACTTAAGCTGGAGTGGCTGCATGGTCCAGTCCTTGTTCTTTGTGCTGCACCCCTCCCTTCRTGCCCTGTCTGGCCTTGGCCTGATCCCACACCAGGCTGTTCTGGCACACTGAGATGGTGAAACCCTACCATGGCAACAGAATGAGAGAATTGGTTTTTGCCAAGAGACAGGGGAATTGTAGGGAGTTGCACGGTCAAAGCAAAGCAGGGGTAAGACCATGCAGGTGGGACTGTAGGGACATGACAGSTGCCATTTGTTATCCAGCAGCTGTTGGACAGATTCTGTGGTCCCTCGAAAGCTTGACCAAGTCCAGAAGAYAGCATTGCTGAGGGTCCCAAAGAGAGAGATGGGCCCCTGCAAGGGGGATTGGCATTGCAGCAGCTGTTCTGGTGGGCCAGAGCCCATCTCTCCATGTGGTGCCAGAAGGTSCTTAAGGCACCTACACTAAGGGCTGTAGGTGCCTACACTGCTCATTATTGCTCACCCTTCTTTCTTTCCCATTGCAGTCATTTTAACAAGCTGTTGACCACCAGCAGATTCAGAAATGTTAAGTAGRAAAACTTCTTAGTTCACTGATGGTGAACTTGAATAAATGTGCTTGTTATTTAGCATGCCTTTGCTTTCAGTCTCTTTTAACCCCAGCATTTTAAAAAGCATCTGCAGAGAACAGAGCTGAATAAGGTTTGGGGAAGTTGAGACCAGTTACTCTCACTTTTATTCTCTTTCTTTGGTGCAATAATGAGATGACTGACATACCACCATGCTTGACAGAAGATTAAAATGCCTGTCTTGTGTGAACCAGGAAAAAAACTAAATCATTTGGGTGATTTTGATCCTTCTGTGTCTCTCTAAATTACTAGCAAAATATTCCTGTTGTTGTGTATTAGTTGATTGTATTCAGTGCAAGTATGTGGATCAGTTAATTGATCTAGKTTAATTGATCATGTACAATTAACATGAGCCTGCACAGACTTTGCAGGAGCTAACACAGCTTTGCTTTGCTGACACAGCAATCTAGTTTAGAGGCATTTGACCTAGAGATCTTTTTTTGTCCTATCACTTCTTTCCTGTGACAAATTTGTGGAGAGAGGTCTTGAATATCCATCCGTAGCTCCTCCAGGGACACTCAGGTCCACAAAGCACACATCCACCGGTATGCAGGTTTCTGCAATTCCAAGCCCTAGGAAGATTCTGTGGAGTGCTTTTTTACTGAAACAGCTCTGTCTCAAACAGCTCATAGCCACTTGCTGGATGCTTTGAAGCAGTAGGCTTCTTACACATGAGCCTTTTAGTTAAATGTAYCTTAGTTTGAAATATTCAAAGCCAAGTAATCTTTTATCTTGTGGTACTTCAGCAGCAGATMTCATTAATCTCTGGTTCTGCTAGCCAGCAACAGTGACAAGGGGGTGTGTAGTTACTTTAGAAGGCCCAACTCTATTTTGAATTCTGTCATTTTAGGCAGGGTCATCCTTTTAGTTTCTGGACAGGCAAGTTTCAAATGGTGCTGATTTCTCCGGGTACTCTGGGGAAATCCTTTAGGCTTCTCAGCTACAGAAAACAAGCAGGCAGATTTATATTAATTTTGTTCCAGATTTTCATAAAGAATTTAATTGGCTCTAAATTATCATTATGATCAAGTAGAGCAGAAACACTCTGCAGCATGCCACTAAACAAAGCRACTATTGCTGTTATTTCATGGTCTCCTTTCATAAGGGCACATTTCAGAATACCTTCCTATTCTGGGAACACGGCTCACCAGGGGAATGACCCGGGGTTACTGGGTTACAGCTACAGGGGCAGCAGCCTGTCAGTGTGCTCTCRGTGTCGAGCAAATTCCAGCAACACAAGAGCTTAACACGATGGGAGAACATCAACTTGAGTTCCCCATTGACCAAGGAGTAAGTGTGGTACTGTGATGCGTGGTAATTGAGCTCACATCACCCTGAGCACAAGCAATAATTGCACTTCAGTGTCAGGTGTTGGTAGATGCTGGTTTAAGGATGAAACCAGTCTGGCTGTGAAATACAAGGAGTGGCATCCTCGTGTTGCCATCAAGAGAACATTCAAGCCTGTTTTTTGCTAAATCCTGATGTACCTTCASCAATATATCAGTGTTTGTTGCTGCACCTGGTACTGCTGTGTCTTTTTTTCATCCCTCTTTTCTYCAGTGAGGGAGAAAAGTCACAATTCATGATGGAAGGTTTTAATGATCCCATCATGATTTCAAGGCAAGATCCCATCAGAATGAATCATGCTAATGGTTGTGACAGGATAGCCTATTGTCAATATTGCTGGGTTTAAATTCCTCACTATTCACTTTGGTCCCTGGCAAGAGGAGATTCTTCACAAGTCTGTAGTTCAACAGCATTGCTAGGCTTCTCAGCTCTTGGTTTGGCTGTGAGATGTTTTCCTAAAAGCACCTCCTCCTTGGTGTATTTATTGTCAGTGTTTACAGTACAAACCCATTCTTAAATTCATGTGACATTGTAGTATAACAGTTGGCATTTCTGCATCTTTTTATGTGCTATTTATATAGTAGCTTCATATGTATTCTTTATGTTAATATTCTTGATATTCTCTTGAATACCTAATTGAAATTATTTTAAATATTCATTTTTTAATGCCACCAGAGTAAAGTGTGTGGGAAGTTACATGTCACCTAAAAAAACAGTCATGCAAACCAAAATAGGAGGAGCATTTTTGTTAGTCATTTGGACACTTGCATCTAAGATTTACCTTTTTAGGGTAGGTCTAAGAGGCAGCCTCTGCTTCTTATTTAGTTCAAGCTCTGTGAGTGAGAAAACAGGTAAATGGAGATGTCCTGCATGGGGCTGCTCCTCAGGGATGGCAAATGCATGGCTTTTCTTGACAGAGACTGGTCCAYGTGTCAAAATGTAATTTCATAAAATTACCATGATAGCTTTTGCCCAGAGGTTTCATTGTCTCTTAAAATGTGTATTGTTTGCATTCATTTCAGCTCCATTCTTTCCAATGCAATTGTCAGAGCAGAGCTCATTCCCCCGTGGAGCTGGTATAATTGTGCTTCTCCACATGCGCCAAGCTCTGTGTGAAGCTGCTAGTGTAGGCTCTGCTGCTGCTGTTCCAAAAAGGTTCCTCAAATTTTCTCAAAGTGGAACTTATTTATGTTTTCAGATGTGAACTTGATATTGTCTGAGTAGAATGTGTGCAATGTATTATAGAAATGTCTCTGCGCAGGGTTTAGGAGGAGGCAGGAGCCCCTCAGCCGTGTGTGTGCTTTTATTACAGAAAACCAAGATGAAGTTGTATTGTTGAGTYATCTGTTACAGCTGATTTAATTTGTACTTTGTTTTCATGTTTTAAGTGCCTGATGATTTTTTTGTCAAGGAGGCAATGATTTCACTGTTACAAGGCATACTTAGAATTCTGTACTTGTTACCTGTTCTGTAATAGAATATTTTTGCAATTTATGTTTGGAAATAAAGACTTATTAGGCATAATTGTGCTGGGTTTTTTTCTTTTGTGAATTCCTGAGACTAAACAATCAAAAATATGTCTCCTGAGGCAGTAGCATAGACAATGCATTAGTCTGAATCCTCTGGAGCAGTGTTAGCAACTGACAGTAAAAATGTGGGCAGTTCCTTTAAACTGTGCAAGGAAAAAAGCACGCTGTGCTTAAAAGCAGGTGTAGGGGGTTTGGGCACTGATGCATGTGTAAATATCTGTTTCTTAAGTGGTACCTTCATCTGATTTCAATCTTTTCTGTTCTTGAATGGCAACACAATTAACCATCTCTTTTCAGTACTTCTCATGACTTGAAATACTTCTCAAAAAGTATTTATTTAAGGAAAATGAAACAAGGAGAAGAACCAAACAAGAWAACACATTGTTGCCATCTTCCTCTAAAAATAGCTCTTGCATTTGAAAACTATCTCTAAAGATAACCAAACACTTTGAAAACAATGATTAATGGAAACCACAGATGAAATAGTTTTTTGCACAAAATACTAACCATGAGTACATGTCTGATAGGTGTGTATCTAGTAGATTTCTATGCATATTTCATGGCTTATGTTGGATTTTTTTTTAATACAGGTTTTGGTCGCATACAATATGCTTGTAGTGAATGAATTTCAAACAGATGAATTTCAGAGGAAGAATTTTCCCTCCAAGCATTTACTTTTTACTTTTGGGCAGAAGGCGGCCGTAGAACTGTGCTGCTTACTGTGACTTCTCCAAATAGAAGCTGACTGCCTCGTTAAATCAGGTCAAATATGTACATGCAGCTGTTTGGTGAGGAGGACTATTATCCTTTAGGGCCCTCTAGGGACTGAATTGCAATTGCCAAATTTTATTGCAGACAGAACAGAGGATAAGAACTGAAAGTTTTTATTTGGCTTCATGGACCATCAAGTGGCTTCTGCCTGAAGATTAAGATCTGGATCTTTGTGGCCTACCTCCTTCTCATAGTTCATGAGTCTTTCACTGATGATCAGAACCAAAGGATTTATTTTGTTTGCTGTGCTGACAGCTGGATTTGCATGTATGCAGATGCAAATATGTCCTCATARTCAGAGCAGGTTCTAAAGTAGAGGTGTGATTTCTGCTGAGGCAAATGTCCTAGATTGGGCTTAGCCATCTCAAATATTTATGAAGAGCCAAATGTTGAAAGAGCAGCACTGCCAGGTGATTAGGACAGCTTGGTCCAAGTACAGAATGACTGAGTGCAGCTCTAGACAAAGCATTGCTTTTTCCTTATCCCCTGTTTCGAAGGGGAGCAGTCGCGAAAGTCAGCTGGGCAAGAGGAGAGTGGGAGGGAAGTGGTTGTGCTCTGAGGTTGTACCTGTCTCATAGTCACTGCACCTCTGGATCACACCAAGCACAAACCATTCTCCCAGAGCACTTCCATCAAKATGTCACTCCTGCTGTGAGAAACACACATTCACTGGTGTTAGAAGGGCTTTAGAAGGTCCCAGGAGCCATCATATGGTCCAAGACCAGGTTAGGTTTTCCTCCTGCCTCTGCTAGGCAAAAAGTATCATGTGAAGATTTTACATGAGGGCACTGGCTTAGTCCAGAAGAAGAGAATGGCCAAAGTCCACAAGCTGAAAGCCATGGCAGTGGGTTAGGGRATCTGGGATCACAGCCACAGCACAGCCAGCAGCTGGAAAAATACACATATGGGCTGAGGAAGTCATCAACATTTTAAAAGGTGAGAGAAGATTGCCTCCTTCTCAAGGACCCCACTTCTGGTAACCAAATGTGCCTGGGGTTTGAGATACATGGCTATTTTAGCTTGCCTCTTCCATCCTGTAGCAAGTGGCTATGTCATCCTTGCTCTGCACCAGAGCAAATTAATGGTAAATAGGAATGTTAAGGTCTCATGGCTGCTGCAGACTGATAGATGGAACCATCTGGTTAATGGAGATACCATAATGAAAGCATTAGCTCCTAAGTGTAGCACTGCAGATCTTTTATCATATAAGTAGAAAAAAAAGAGACTCCAGCAAGGACTGAATTTAAGCTGCACTCTGTTTCCTACAGCATAGGGAAGCAAAGCAGAATTAGTCCAGGAGCTCACATACTACTACTGTCATCAGAGAAAGAAATGTTGGATGTGCTGGGGAAAAGATATAATCATTAGAACTGGAATAACTTCCATATTTGAAATTACTTTTATTAGGCAATTTGAGAGACTGTTAAGGCAAAAATATTCTGACTGAATTCTAGGCTCAGTGCTACTTTTGTAAATCCAAACCGTCAGCGACATAGTTTCTTTTTGTTTAGCTATTAATCTTTGTAACTACAAAGATTATGTGTAGAGTTTTAATAAATTAAAATCACTCAGTAAAGGTCCCTCAGTTTGAACTGCCCGTTTYACACTGATAGTTTCTCTTGAACATTGTGTAAAAGCTGCTATGAGCCCAAGCAGGACCCCGGGAGTGGGCTGCAGCCTCCCAYTGTGTGTGCCCTGTAACAGAGCATGGGCACAGCTCCTGCCTCTGGGCTGCTGCCAACCCTCACCCTCGGATTCCTGCCTGGAACGGAGGGATGATGGGTCTGAATCAYCTGTGGGAAAGGAAGAGTTGAGGTTGGTGGTGGTTTGCTGCCTCAGTAAATGTCCTGAAGTTGGATTATGATATAAAGAGAAGCAAAAGGACTCTTACCCTAGCTAGATTTTAAATTGTTTGGTTCTGTTTTAACAAAAAACAAAACAAAAAAAAAACAACAAACAAAAAACAAAACAAAACAAAAAACAAAACAAAAAACAAAACAAAAAAACAAACAAAAAAACAAAAGGAGTTTCTACACTCTCAGGAAAAAGCTGGATCAAAAAAAAATACTGTTGTGTTCACTGAGGCATTGTAGTAGAGGAGATAGAGACAAGGTTTAAGGTACTCTGGATGTGCTTGTGTGTGATACATCATGGGGAAATGCTATGAAGGAAGGATGAGGGGGCGTGATTATTAAGTGGCAGAGGGAGTGACCTAAAATGAAAGAYTGCAGTACTCTGGCATTGAATTCACAGTTCTCCATCCAATGCTGGTATGAAATAACTGCTTTTTAAAAAGCCGGACAAGTTGAAGCACTGAATGGGTGAGAGTGGGAGGCAAATGGGCACCTCTCCTTGCCATAGAGCTGGGTGAGGTGACAGAAGAAATAAGCTCGAGACTCATCTCACCACCCACAGACACCAGGTCAAGTAGGGAGACTTGTATGCCAGGCTCCATGGTCCTTAAGTACAGGAGGCTATTTCACAGTCATGGTGATTACTTTATATATAAATTCCTACATCATAAACACCTGCATTTACTAGATCARTCCCATCATTCCTGTCCTGCACTTTCCCTATCTACATTGAAAGTTTTTTCAACAGCGCTTGAATCATAGAGCTCTGAACTCTGTTGGCCCTATTCGCTTCGCTGTAATACAGATAATAGTTTCTGAGATGAAATCGCTTTTTCTGAATACATTTAGCATCTTTCAGAAGAATCTAAAATAGAAGCTCTAAGAACATTAACTTAGAGCACTTTTCAAGTTCATCTTACTTGCAATCCATTAAAGTGAAGTGACAACTGAGGTGTGACATGAAGTAATTATACTGATTGTGTTGTATGTGCTCTGCAGGAGCCGAATGATTTGCTGAGGATATTAATTTCAAAAGTCAGACAGCAAGAGATCAGCTGAGATGAAAGATCACTGCAAAGTGACCTCAGACCAGGGGAAAAGAAATAGAAGAGACGGGAGCGTGGCCCTGCTGAGGAGTTCAATGCTGTACAGTCTAACAGTGAACTGAAGTAGATGCATTTTGACACCAAAGGTGGTTTCCATGGAACTGACTGCAGGTGTCATCACTACAGTTCAAAGTCACTACTGTGGATTCCCTTTATGGTCTTGGAGAAAAGTGGAGTATAATTCATCTGGCTTGTTTTAGGTGTCTACCTTCACCTGTGATAAGCCCTGCCCTAGGTTCCCTGGTTTATGGAGAGTGTAGAGTGACTGGCTGAGCCGTCATGCTTATGTGCCGGCTCATAGATCAGCGTTCCACCTTGCAGGAGTGAGAGAAATGCAGGTGCAACCCCAGACTGAGCTCCCACCTGCCTTATTCACACTCAGCCATGACCTGACCAAGGCCTGATCGTTACCTTACAGCATTACACCTCGTGAGCAGGAAATAGTAGCCGAGTGACAGACTGTAAAACATCCCATAGAGATAGCATAKAATGAGATCAGTTTGATAAGGATTCTCTGAAAGAGAATAGGTATAGATTAGGTTTGTGAATAACAAACCTAGTGAACTTTAATRTCTGTGACCTCTAAAACAATTTTCRCGGTCACAAAAAGTTAATCAGAATGTAAAAGCTCTTTTATCAAATGTTCACTGTTGAAATCAGTATTGGATTTGTGTACTTGAATTGCTGTGCAGCCTGAATAGACACATTAAAAGTAGTTTAATCCGATTGTACTTTGGCTTTAGCTTAGTTTGTCAATCTAGCAGTGCAAGTCAAACAGCTTTCACTTAGGGATTTTCACTGCATCGCTTGGATAAATTCATTAGCAAGGCATAAAGTAACTGTGAATCTGAGGGACTTTGGGAGCCATGGAGATCTTCCTGATGGAGCCAGATCCTGGAGGTAACTTACAGCCAGTTCTCAGTGTAACACAACACTACAAAGAGAATGTCATGAAGCTTGACTGGGCAGCATATTCATTGAATCTGAATATCCACACTCCGAGAAAGAAATAAGCAGTAGTATAAGCATGATTTTGTGCTAACAGGGGCAACCCTCCCCCCATTCACCCCCCCATGATATGTTGCACATGGTTTCATCTGTCATTTGTCAGAAAACGTGTCAAACTACTTTAGTTTCACTAAAGTGTTGGCTTGGCTTAAAAAAACAACATTCTGGCACACATAGACCAAAACCAGTCTGAAATCATGGTTATCATTGCTACTGACTCACAGACATCAAGGCAAAACACAGGCAG